GTACTCCGGCAGGCAGGCAGGCAGGCAATTCTCGGCGGCGGCGAGGCCGAGGAGGTGGAGGGAGGGAGGGCGGCGCGGGGCGGCCCGAGTCCCTCTCTCGCTCCCTGGGAGGCAGCCGAGCCGACGGGCTACACTCTGGGAGCCCTGTGGTTTTACACACACACACATACACACGCGGGCGGGCGCGCACCCACTCGCCTCCACACCCCGGCACCGCTTCCTTTTTTTCAGAAATGGACTCGGCGCCCAAAAACCAGGGGGACAGAAGCCGACAGACATTTCAGGAAACAACCGCCTGGATAAATGCGGTTTCAAAAGCTCTAAAAGGATCTGTGTTATGAGATATTTTTTTATCAGGGCTGTTTAGAACCGAATAAATACCTTCGCCCTCCGTTCATTTCCTGCTTTCTGTCGATCGTTCAGCGTTATTTTTCGCACGTGTATGTGTGTGTTTTGTGTTTTGTTTTTTAAACTCTGCTCTTTTACCTACAGAGTTTAGAGGGCACAGAAATGATACTAAATGCTGACCACCTTTTCACCCGCTGGAACATTGGGGTCAATCGCTGCGCTTCTCTACAAAGCATGTGGTCGGGTTGGAAACCCCCACAATGCCATTTCTTTTACAAAACAGTAATTGTTGGATCTTTCTGCTGTCGTGATGTCACCCAGGCAATTCGTCTGGCAGTGAGGGCTGATGTTAAAAGACTGTCAAGTAGACTGGGTCAAATTAAGCAAGGAAGTGTCTCTTAATTTTCTCACATGTTCCTAGACAGGTCTTTCCCTGCTTCCGCTTTGAAGAAAGCTCTGTCTAACATTTGAAGGAAATTCTAGTTTTGTATGTTTGTTTAACAAGTGCTGATCCAGGAGTCAAAGACTACAGGTTTTATATTATTTGTGTCAATGATAGTGTGGAAATAGATGTAAGACACCACTGATATACTGGGAGTATATCTATCTTACAGAAAATTTGACGTGGGGCCCACTCCCATGCACATTTACTAAAAAGTATGCCCTACTGAATTCAACAGGATTTACTCCCAAAAAAGCATACACAGAACAGCAACAAATCCTTTTATTTTCAGCTGCAGCCACACAAAGGCATGGGGCAATTAAATGGTGAGAATGGAATGGGAAAAGTTGGGAAGATAATTAATGACATTGTCAACTACATAAATATGGTTGATTAAGCCAGTATGTGTCATATGACCATTATACCTTTAATTTTAGTGGGCAAAAATCCCACTGAAACAGATGGTATGTAAAAATGCCAGAAGGGTCTTGGCGTTTCAGAACTGATAATCTTTAACTAAGTAACACCACCAGGTTGCAACATTATTTGTATGTTTTGGCCCAGTTTCAAAATGAAGTAACTTCCATAAAGAACCTTTCACCACTATTTATTCTAGATAACACAATTTCAACAATCTAAGACATCGATTCCAAGATCATGGACCACAGATATACAATGCTAATTTGTCTAGGTGGAATGGGCAACAATAAAGTAATCTGGATAAGCAACAACAATTTTTTTTAAAGCACTACAAACTTGTGCTGGAATGCTTTCTATTGAATGCAGCAGGACATGCATTAGACTAGGGTGCATCCACTCTCAATATCTATGTATAATTTTGTGACCCTGCTGGACATCATCATGGCTTAAACATCTTATTCAGAGGAAGCAGTCACTGTAGAGTTAATCCACATGAGTAGTTTGTATTTGCAATGATTTTTTGGGCATTTCTTCTTTTCTTGGACAAAATCCAGACAGTTAAGTGAAAACATCCTTTGTAATGACATGGTATATTTTTATTCTATCAAGTGTAAAACCTCATAAAAGGTGTGTGAGAGAAGTCCTACTGGCTTGTGACTAAAGGTTGGTTTTTCCTATCTCTTGGGATGTGGTTTGACTGAGTGGCCTTAAACATGTGTAGCTCAGGCAGCCTTCCTTGTCTCAAGGTATAGGGGCACAATGTGATCTTAAATTAATCTGGAGCTTCATTTGTGACATTCTCCTCACTAGGAAGGCCAGATTATCTATGAACTTTTGACTTCTTGCAGTTCTTCCTATTTCTGATTTGGTATAATTAGGATAACAAATTCTAACTCCATTTCATGATCTCCATTTAGATGCCGCAGTATGAACTTACTAATTGTGGAACTAACCTGGCAAGCATCAATTCTTTTGTTTATGTGTTGCAACTAGTTCAGGCCTGCACCAACTGTAACCCATCAATCGACTTGCTGAATTACTTGACTGACACCAAGGATGGGTTTTGTATTAAACAGTAAATAAGCCTGGACAATTTTAAATGGCTCAAGCAGCAGTTAGAGTTGCTTAAATTCCAAGTTCTTTGGGCAGAGAAAGAAAACCTTTTCAAGTAACGTCTGCTGTTCTTGAGTCATGAGGTGGGCATCAAGACCATGCCACGTTGTGTTGTTTATTTCTGTGCCACCTGATCTCTTTCTTTGCCTTCCCGCATAAAATTAGGCTAAGGGCAACAAAACATTGTTTAACTTACTATAATTGCATTTCCACAGTCAAGGGTGTTTGAGCCTTGGATACTATATACATTGATGGCAGATGGATATTTGTTGTTCTGCCTCAGGCAGCAAAATCACCTGGACCAGTCAAGGCCTTTGCCCACTATGTCTGTACATGGAATTCATATGAATAATACTGTTATGTTTTTAATTGAATAAAATGTTGGGAAGACTTTAAAGACTTGGCCTACATTTTCAACGTTGTTCGAGAGGATTGCTTTGGAACACCGGTTCCCAGCCCTTGGTCCCCAGATGTTCTTGGACTACAACCTCCAGAAGCCCTCAGCACTAGCTGCACCGACCAGGATTTTGGGGAGTTCTAGTCCAAGAACATGTGGTAATGGAAGGTTGGGAACCACTGCTTTTAGAAATAAAATTGCACCCATTTATCTATGTATTGGAACCTTTTTCAAAGAATCCTGGTAATTGCAGTTTCATGGGGAGTCTACAGAGTCTCCCCATCACAGTTTTTGGAGGTCTCAGAGGAGATTAAATGACTGTTAAACCACATTAAGTTAGTAGTACTTTATATTGTTGATGTGGAGGATTAAAGTTCAGAGCCAGGGAGCCACCCTCAGTTCCATCCTGAAACTGGGCTACATATTGACCAAAAACAAAGGGCAACCCTCCCTCCCAATAAAACGGGGGAATAGACATGTAAAGACAACACTGCAGAAAAGGTATTAGGGTCTTTATTGAAATTATTTCAGTAAAACTGCACGAGAAGGGACTGAAAAGACTAGGGCTATTGATTGGCAAACAAAAATGAGTAAAAGGATACATGATGTGGATATAGAAATAATGAATGGGATCAGAAAGGTAGGTCAGGAAACCTCCACCCACTCTAAAGGAGTGTAAAACAATGGGCAGATAATTAATCTAAAAGACCAGTCATGATTAAAGGATATACAAAGTTGTGTAAAAATATTTCCGTTCTCCTCTAAGCCTCAATTACAGTACTCAGTGTCCCCCAAAATATCTTCACCATGGAATTGCTTGCTGGAGTCAAACAAAACTCAGTACTGATGTAAAACTTGTATTCTCTTTGTTAGTGCTGGCCATTATTTCAAAATGAATTGCTGAGCAAGGCTGGTTTTATACCGCTGTAAAGCTGGGGTAGGGAACTTATACCTCCTGGCCTCATTTTGTGCAGGATTGTAGAGAGAGTCCGGTGGCACAGAAATAACATGGCACAGGGTGGCATGGCACGCTCCTAAGTAATCATGCAAGCTCTATCCATTTGGGGCACTGGCCCTCCCATCAATGACTACAACACCCTTCCCAGCTTTTCCCAGGAGTCAAGGGTTCCTTCCAAGGGTTCCCCACTCTGCTGGTAAAACCACAACTGCAGCACTGGAGACCCTGGGGCTGTAAAGCTTAGGATTGCCACCCTTCTCCCTTACAGAGCAATGGTTCCCCAAACCGAGTGTCCAGATATTCTTCACCCCCAGCTTCCAAAATTTCTGACTGTTGACCATTGCAGTCCAACAAGTTTGGGAATAAGTAATAAACAATAAACTGTTTATTCAGCAAAATTCAGAGTAACGGAATCCATAAATTATCAAAATGTTCTGGTTTGGAAGTTAGCTGTCCTTTCCTTTGTCAAAGTCATGATACCTTTTACACACCTGCATGTCTAGATATGCTCAGGATAACTTAGGAGAGATTAGTTGCCTCATAATAATTTTCAAACATAATTGTACAGGTGCTATGATTATTTTTTGTTGTTGCATGTAGGCATGTGTCCTGAGGTGCACTGATCTGATGGTTAGTCTATGGAAGAGGTAATATCCTTGTTTGTAAGCTCTTCACATACATCTAGTTTTTGATGGTTGTAGAATATTGTTCTAGTCTGCATTATGACAGACTAGCACCTCCAGATGTATAACTATCATGGCGATAGTTATTATCTAATAAATCTGGGGCCATCAGTTGGAGGACATTTGTGGTAAGCTGATAGCAGCATCCTCATGTCATCTGTGGGAGTCCTGCCATCTGAGGTCAGCATTGCGACATGGCATGCAATCTGAAGTGAGATGCTACCTAAAATAAGTAGACAGCTGGGGGAGGGGGGAGAGAGAAGATGCTTCTAGATGAGGCTCATTTTGTTTTTTCTCCTGCCTCATTCACAGAGGCAGGAGAATAAACAAATGCAACAATACAAATACAAAACATATACAACAATATTAAAACTTTAAAAACATTAAAACCATTAAAATAGGTAATATTATAATAATATCCTATATTAAAAACAACAATTAAAACATTTATATTAATAAATTCTGCTGCTCATATGGCCAGCTAAATAATGCTATTTAATTAAAATGCTGGCTAA